CTTATCAGACCGATGACGATAACATCACAAATGAGCTTATATCGGCCGATATATCATCTCAAATATTATAATAATGTAATTTCAGCCTCATTCAGTTCACAGAAGGAAGTTATTAAGAGTGTAATGCTCCTGAAGAGTGCCATGGTGTGAAGAACAGAGCGAGTGTGGGAGCAGGACTGACTTTATCAGCCGGAGCGGCGCTGTTGATCTGAGACGGCTTGAGCTTCCCTTTAGCCACGAGCATAGCGTTGATCTTAGCGGCGACAGCGGCCGCGGCGTCCAGAGCTCCAGTGGGAGCAGAACCTCCATCAGAGGAACCCGGACCGGCCTGGTCCCACTTACTGCGCCGCCTGATGAACACAAACACATCATCATCATCTTCATCATCACCATCATCATCATCATCATCATCAGTGGTTAAATGGGCGTTTATAGGGAGGCGGAGCCCTTAGTTACGGTGAACGGTCATCATTCAAAATCGCCCCGTAAAATGACGTAATGTGTTTTTACACCAAAGAGGCTCTTTTTCCAGTATTAATGTGTAAGGTAGGTTTGAGGTCTTATTTAAACAAAGAGAAATACTTTACAATTAAATTTTTTTTTTTGCATCATTGAAGTGGACAAGACCATTAGCATATCTCAAAAAAAAATGACCAAAGAGTTTCATTCCTGCGTAGTAATCAAGAAACTTTACTGCCGTACCATGAGTGCAGCAGGCGTAATGATATGACGCAGCGCCTGAAAATAGTTCCGTTGGAAGTTACCGAGCTGGGGACTATTTTCAGGCGCTGCGTCATATCAATACGCCTGCTGCTCTCACGGTACGGCAGTGAAGTTTCTTGATTATTACGCAGGAATGAGAGTATAGTTCCTAGCCATATCAGCCTAGAAGATCGCAACTTTACATTTTCCGTCGGTCTTAGTGCACGGTGTAACTACAGTTACAGTAAGTTTTTAATAGGAAAAATATCGAAACACTTTGGTCATTTTTTTTTTGGAGAAATGCTAATGGTCTTGTCCACTTTAGTGATGTATGCTAAGCTATGCTAAAAGTGGTACCGCCAGAACCGGAGATCGGCTGAATGGATTCAAAAACGGTAAAACTCAACAGTTTAACTCTGGGGGAGTTGTAAAATGAGCCTATTTCCCAAAAAAGTGGAGTATCCCTTTATGTTAACAGACAGGCAACGGATTTCACCCTCGGAAAATGTATAAAATTGAACATGTTTTAAAATATTGGTTGGCAAATATCTTTTAAAACAAGAAAAAAATGTTGATTTAAAAGAATCAGGGCAATTTCTTCGGCAGTTTGTTGTTTGATTTAATCACACCGACACGCAGGGCCGTACGGGGGTTTTATGGATAAAAGTTCCAAAAAATGATCTTGTTAGGGGGGTTTGGAGGCACGCCCCCCCAGAAAATGATGGTTTCCCTGATCTCGACATGTCCATTTTAAGGTGTTTTGAAGGCCAAAAAATTGGGCAACAGCAGCTTTAAAAGCATGCCAGTGCTCAGCATGAAGGCCTATTTGATCAGATAACAGATTCTTTAACATGAGAATCAGTTTAAATGTCGCAATGAGTGATCCACACTATAAAATGGAAATGCAGAATGTTTATGCATATTGTTGACAATACACAATCACATATTCGAAACGGGAATGTCCTTAAATAAGAAATGATTCAAGGATTCTTTTGTAGATGTTACATTTCCAACAAACGCCAAAGCCATCACTCTGTGCCCATATGAGCAGTTAGTGTGAGCATCAAAGGACAGTTTCAGATACTTTTTCTTTCCTACATTAATCAATATTTTTGGACTAGCTAATCTGCTCATTTAATCAATGGTTTGATTGCTCACTCATTAACATTCTCAACACTGACACGGAAAACAGGAGAAAATGTTCCAAGAACAACCCGTTAGAAGACACTCTGCTCCACAACTCCGGGATTTACTGTGAGATGCTGGATATATTCCTATTGGATGATGTTATAGTAATATAGTCATGTATAAATGCATTAAATGTGTCAGAGGAGTAATGGAATATAATTACAGTATGTTGTTGTTTAGAAGCTAAATGTTTGGGCTACTGTTTTTCATAACAGGTTTATAGAGAACCTATAGCTTTATTCATTTATTTTTCCCCCAAGCGCGGCTGGAGTTACCAGGGTCTCCTCCACAGGATACTATGGAAGAACAAATGATACACTTTGGTGAGCAAATCAAACCCAGATGAGCCAGCGCTGTCCCGGCCCGGCCCGGCTCAGTGGCACTGGCAGAATATTCCAATATTTCAAACATCAGGGTTTTACACTTCTTTCAGGTGTAGTTACACACATTTACATTACAACTCAGACTCAGTGCCTGTCCATTTCCCCGACACACACACACACACACACACACACACACACACACACACACACACACACACACACACACACACACACACACACACACACTCCTCTGAGGGACACGACTCGCGACTCTTGAACTGGGTGGC